TATCTCCAATCTCCAAAATAATGGAATTATTTAAAAAATTACTTTGAAATAAATTTAATCATCTGCTTGCTGATCCTCTCATTAACAGCCGCTAGACCCTGGACCGTGTACGACTGTTGCCTGATCACGATGAAACACTGCTTTCCTATCCAAACAATTTTTTTTATTTCAATTCTTTATTAATCCTAACCAAAACTGTTAATTAATTAATTCATCTGAATTTTTGTAAGAAAAATCAAAATTAAAGGAATAAAAAAAAAAATTAAATAATAAAAATCATTAATTATTGTGAAGATAAATTATCAATACCTTTTGCTCGACTCGTGTGCAATCGCCCTCTCACCCACACATTCTGGTCCTTAATTTTGGGCTGTAGATCCTTGACGTCAGTGAATTTTCTCTCCCCATGACTCTCCGAACTCTGGATCAGCCCCATTTGTCCATATCGTCCGAGGGAAATGTCTTCAGCATTTTCCACAGGCTCTTGTGCCTTCGAGAATAAACAATAATTCATAAACACAACAATTTCATTCCTCTCTTTTAATTTTTACCCGAGAATTACTTACAGTTTGCGATTTATACGCGGCTTTTTTCGCTGCTTTCTCCGCCTCCTTCTGCTGCTTCTTCAGAGCCTTCTTCGAGGGTTCAGACCTAGTATTTAATAACAATTTAATAAAACAATTCCTTGAGACGGATAAATGATTTTTATAAATAATCAAGTAGGTGCACTGGGAGTGAGTAATTTTGAGAGAAAATGGGAGATTTGTTTACGAGGGGTTCTCTCACCGATAATAATTATATTTCTTAACAAAACTCGTAACAATATCATCACAAACGTCAAATTTAACAGTATCCATGACAAAGAGTGTTGGAACAACCGATGCAACCACTTCTGCGTTGTTAAATAAACTATAAAATGGTCTCCATTTACCCCCAAGTTATCGTCTTTAATGGATAAAAATGGAGCAGAACTCGAATGTCATGCACTTCAATCTCGACCCCTGACCCTTGATTTGTCCTGAATTATTGTATTTTTATCAGTGAAAAATTGATGAGAGAAATGAGTTAATAAATTAGGCAATTTTCTGCGCAGTTTCTCATTTAGTTTATAAACTTAAACTACCAGTTATCCACTGGATATTCAGTTGAACAAATGCTGCGGATGAAAATGAGTGCAGAGTGACCGGGGATAATTGAAGAGGTCACAGAGGAAAAAAATTATGCGAATGTGTTGTCATTGGCAGGGGAATTAAACCTGAATGTTGATACGACTGCTGGGAAATGGGGAATTATGGAATTCGTGAGAAATTCATTGAAGTTACATTTTTATTTCATTACGACTTCAATTGTCATTTTTTTATTGAAAAAAAATATGAATATTCATTTTTTATGGTTTTTAATTATTAATTTTGTGTATTGAGGAATTAAATTACGAGAATATTGATAACATACCCCTCTCCATTGATAACAGCCTCTTTCGCACTCATCTGTAATTATTATAAATAATTTCATCATTAACTCAACCGAAAATTAACAGTAAATTCCCCCAAAAATAGTAATTTCATTGTTTTTTTAATCCCTAGAGTTAATTACTATTTACTTCCACGAATTCTCTTTTAATGAATTAATTTCCCCGTCATATGGCTCCAGAAATAATTTTCTAGGTTAAATATAAATGCACGAGTTCCACATAAAATAATAAATAAACAAATCCCTCGAGTTAGAGAATCTTTACTATTTTTCATGTACTTACGATTAATATTTAGTGAATACGACGTCTTCACTGAATTATCAATAATTTAGATACTCCGGTACCTATTTTTTTCAATTGGGCACGTCACACATACAATTGTACATATGTACTGAGTACTTTGTAGTTGTACCTGTAGATGGCATATATATACTTCCCCAGATGATAATAAAAACGCCGGAAATCCAGGAATGGCGAGAAATATTCGCAGAATGATTTATTCACTTGAAAGGATAAACAAAAATCTGAG